CATGGGGAAAGCACCTGGGGGAACAGGCTAGATATTTCAGTTCAGCACTGTTGCTATTGTAAAAAGAGAGAGAGAGAGAGGGAGTGTGAACAAGCTGGGATGCTGTAGGTCTGCAAGTGGCGAAGCATAGGCAAGAGGGAGGAAGGGAGGTAGCACATGTAGCCCACAAGTTGACCTTCCTGGTGGAATAGAGCCAAATCAGGCATGGGCCTAGAGTGACAATCTGGGCAGAGGACCTTTTTAAAACAATGATAATAGCATGTATGTATGTGTGTGCGTGTGTAAGTGTATGGGTTAGAATAAATAAATACCTGGTAGTCAAGTAGTTAGGAGGCTTGGAGGGACTGTACAAGTTGTGTTTCAAGTTGTTAGAAAAACTGCACTCTTGCAGTAGTGAGAGGAGCGGACACATGGGCCAGCACCAACCAGGAGTGCTGAGAGGGAGCCCCCAGCCATGGGGAAAGCATCCGGGGGAACAGGCTAGAATGGGAGCTCTTAAACACGCTGCACTATAGCAAGAGTGAGGCATTAGGACTGTGCAAAGCTTTGGGTGGTGATTCGATTTAGAGGAGATTCAGCCTGATTTGGTGGCTGAATCTCTGAATCCAAATCGAATCAGGGGACCAATTTAAAGGTCCAAATCTTTGGAAAAGATTTGGAGAGCTTTGATGATTTGGGCAGTCCCCAGTGGCTGCAACATGGAGGTGCAGATGGCTCCGAGCTGGTAAGTACTAGGGGCGGAGGAGGGGACCATGGAGGGACCCCTGCTAGCCCCCCTCCAATTGCCCCCACTCCCCAAGCCCCCCCAAATCCCCTTGCTCCCCCAGCATGCCCCAGCAGGCTGCCCCGCCCACCCCAGCTCCCAGCATTTTAAAGAAAAGTCTCAGTGCTCACTGGGTGCTGCCAGGCGAGGGATGATCCCTGCTGCCCCCCACTGCCCCATGCTGCATTGGGGGCTCTGCCACAAGCCCCCTGACCCTCTCCTAACTCCCCCCATGGGTGCCCCGCCTGGGCCAGCTCTGGCCCTTCAAGAAAAAAGAAAAACCAAGAAAAGCCTGGGACTCACCAGTTCTTGCCTGGCCTGAGGGCTTCAGGGGCTCATGCAGAGCCCCCCACATGGTGCAGAGCAGTGGGGATCACCCCCACTGGCAAGAACAGTGAGTCTGCGGGGGGTTTCAGGTTTTTTTGTTCCTAAAGGGCTGGAGCTGGCCCGGGTGGGGCACCCATGGGAGGTGCAGAGCCCCACATGCAGTGCGGGGCAGAGGGGACCACCCGCTGCCCAGCAGCACCTGGTGAGCTGGGGCTTTTTTTTCCAAAGAGCCAGAAGCTGGGGCAGGCAGGGCAGCCATTGCCAGGCTGGGAAAGCGAGCGAAGGATGGGCCTGGCCTGGCTGATTCAGAGATTCAGATAAATTGAATCAGGACAGTGATTTGAATCACCGAATTGAATGTGGTGTCGATGCCTAGACAGTCAGATGGGTCGCAAACTGGCTGGAGGGCCATACCCAGAGAGTGGTGGTAGACGGGTCTTTTTCAACCTGGAGGGCTGTGGGTAGTGGGGTCCCCCAGGGCTCGGTCCTTGGGCCCGCACTGTTCAACATCTTCATCGGCAACTTGGACGAGGGGGTGAAAAGCACCTTGTTCAAATTCACGGATGACACTAAGATGTGGGGAGAAGTGGGCACGCTGGAGGAGAGGGACAGGCTGCAACTAGATCTGGACAGGTTACAGGGGTAGGCAGATGAGAACAGGATGGGTTTCAATACTGACAAGTGCAACCTAGGGAAGAAGAACCAGCAGCACACCTACAGGCTGGGGAACTCCCTTCTCGTCAGTGCAGAGGCAGAAAAGGATCTTGGTGTCATTATTGATTCCAAGATGAACATGGGCCAACAGTGTGGGGACGCAGTCAGAAAGGCTAACCGCACCTTGTCATGCATCCACAGATGCATCATGAGCAGGTCCAAGGAGGTGATCCTCCCCCTCTACGCGACACTGGTCAGGCCGCAGTTGGAGTGCTGCGTCCAGTTCTGGGCGCCGCACTTCAGGAGGGATGTGGACCACATCGAGAGAGTCCAAAGCGCATGATCAGGGGGCAGCAGGGCAGGCCCTACGAGGAGAGGCTATGGGACCTGAACCTGTTCAGCCTCCACAAGAGAAGGCTGAGAGGGGATCTGGTGGCCATCTATAAACTGGCCAAGGGGGACCAGCAGGCTATGGGAGAGTCCCTGTTCCCCCGAGCACTCCCGGGAGTAACTAGGAATAACAGCCATAAGCTGACTTAGAATAGATTCAGGCTAGATATCAGGAGGCGCTACTTCACTGTCAGGGCGGCTAGGATCTGGAACGAACTTCCAAGGGAAGTGGTGCCCGCTCCTACCCTGGGGGTCTTCAAAAGGAGGCTAGATAATCACCTAGAAGGGGTTGTTTGACTCCAGCATTCTTTCCATGGCAGGGGGTCAGACTTGATGATCTGCTCAGGTCCCTTCCGACCCTACCAACTATGAAACTATGAATCGCTGTCCCCTGAATCGACCGAATCCGAATCCAAAGTGAATACTAGCCGCTTCGCACAGGCCTAGGAGGCATGCAGGCCAGCACCAACCAAGGGTGCTGGGAGGGAGCCACCAGCCATGGGAAAAGCATAATTACTTGAGATAATTACCTGGGCTACATGAAAAGACAAAGAAAAAGGAACATAACATACATGATCCTTGAAATGGGGTAATGAAGCATATTTCAGTAAGTAGTGGCTTGGAATAGCTTGACCATTTGTAAGTTTTTAGCATTTTTAAATCTTGCACACTGCACTGCAGACCAGGGCATGTAGAATCAGCAGGAGGAAGGAGGGAAGGCTGGAAGCAGAGCAAAAAAATGGAAAAAAAATTCCGTGATAAATACTGGCATATTCATATATGAAATGGAAATGTTAATTTTTAAATTTTGAAGGGATTATTTAAATTGCAAGCTTAGTTGCTCATGTATTCACACAATACAAGGACTTGTCTACAGTGAGGCAGAGAGGCTAATGGTGAATTCCCATAGGCTTTTTTTGGAGTCTAAAAGGATATTGAGAGTATCAAACAGGCACCAGGCAGTGACATTGCCATCTTTTTTTCTGGAGACAGAAGTGGCATCAGGCAACTTTCCCAGGCTTGTGTTCTTCTCTTCTGCCTGTTGTGCCCAATGGTAGTGGCATAATATAAAGCATAGCATTCGGGAACTAGAAACAGGAGGGTGGGAGAAGTTAAGAGCATAAGAATTTGGATTGTAAAACCACCATGCAGTCATTCCAGCCCTGAAATGGGGGTAGCCCTCCTGTACACGAGTGTGGGGGCAGAGGGAGGTGGAGAAAGGCAGCTTGAACCACAGGCCAGATCCAACCTCTGGAGCTTCTGTCTTTGGCCCCTGGGCTATGAGCAGGCAACCAGACACTGGGGAGGCATGGCCAGGGGGAGTGGCCTGCCGCAGAATCTGGGGCCTTTGTGCCCCAATGGATATAGTGATCAGTGACAGGAGGGCAAGAGAGGGTTGATAGAGCTCCAGCCGCCCTCTGATAGCTTTAACTCATCGCCACCAAAGTGGCCCTAACTCATTGGCAGCCAGCCCCCTCCACCACCACATGCCCTATGCTAGGGCCAAGGCCACAGTATGGAACATGCAGCAGTGGTGACAGCTCTGGCTCTGGCATGGGGCACATGACAGAAGCTGGGCTTACTGTACCATAGCTCATTGTTACTGTGCAGTAGTGTTGCTGGGCACAAACCGTGCAGTAACAATACTGTGCAGTAGTAACCAGCTACTGCATAGTAGCTGGTTGCTACTGCACAGTAACATCAGGCAAAAACCATGCAGCGATGGTACTCCTCAGTAATACTGGCTACTGCACAGTCGTTTAGTACTAGCTTATGCAAGTACTAAATGACTGCTGCTCATTTAGACATGGCCATTATTCTCAATCTCTAGCTGTGCATGGGGATACAAAATTGTACAAGTTTGCTTCTGGTGTCTGCAATGCCCAGAACCATTTTGCATCATCTCACATGTACCATTTTCAGTGTTGGTTTCTAGGTATTTTATTGGCTGCTTGCATGACTATCACACCTTCCACCCCAATGCAAACATGCAGCAAAGCAGTCTTGATCCCTCCCCTTTATTTCTTAATGTAGGAAATGATTTTCTTTATGTGATTCCTAGAGACCTGTTATATAGTCACTGATTCATTACTCCGCACTGGAGAGGGAAGTGCCATTGAAGCTTTGGGTTTCCTGGACTTGCAAAAGAAAGATTCTCCCAGTACTCTGTCCCTGTAGTCATGCCCTCATAAGGTTTATATTCAATGGGCTTCCCAACAATGAAGGAATAAATGGATTTCTGATCCATTCATCATTAGTGATATCCTGGCACCTACCTTTTGGGCTAGCTTGGTCCCTGGAGCTCCTCCAGCAGAAGTGAACTTGCACTATCACAGTGTTCTCTTCAGTAGATTTTTCTGTCGTGTGGGGTCCTTTGCCAAGGCTAGTGTTGACAGGAGCTGGCAGAGTTCTTGGGATGAAGGAAGCCCATGGTCTGAACAGGGAGGATGAGAGGAGCTGGCTTGGAGCCCCTCTAGGCAACAGCACATAATGGAAACAAAGCCACATTACCAGAGTCATCAGCCTTCACCTCCTATTCTATTCTGAATTTCCCTCCTTCCTAAAATAGCAGGGTTTTTTTCTACCAGAATAAAACTTGTCGTTCCTAGCACACCTGTGCTGGGGACCCACAATGGCCTCTCACAAAAGGTTTGGGATACAGGATTCCTGCATATTAGCCAGAGGAGTCTAGCTTTGTGCCTTGATCTAACCCAGTGGATTTCAACCTGTGGTCCATGGACCCCTGGGGGTCCACAGACTATGACTAAGGGGTCCACACCTCCATTTGAAATTTTTTAGGGGTCTGCAAGTGAAAAAAGTTTGAAAATCATTGTTCTAACCTCTTGCTGCTTTGATTTATCCTCAGACTATCGCACTGGTCCCTGCTTCAGCCAAGTGAATAACCAGATGTGCCAGGGCCAGCTCAGTGGCATTGTCTGCACCAAAACTATGTGCTGCGCCACCATCGGAAGGGCCTGGGGTCATCCATGTGAAATGTGCCCTGCCCAGCCTCACCCCTGCCGGCGGGGCTTCATCCCCAACATACGCACTGGGGCTTGCCAAGGTAAGTGCCATGGAAATGCACTTGTGAAACCTCCCACGTGCCCAGAGTGTTAGGATTCCAGCGGCCTTGTGATATTACTCAGTGTTGCAATAGCAGTTATATGCATGGACAATATCAATGATAAAGCCTGTGCAACTGGATACTGTGTGATGCTCCTGTTCTTATCACCTTGTCTCCTCTGCTCCACCTACAGTGCCCCTGTTAGTGCTATTTTGGTTGTCTTCTCCCATGCTCACGTCTATGCATTATTCCATTCCATATACTTCACCTGCATAGATTGCCTACCCTTGGCTCCAAGCCACCTCCTGGTCTTTCCCAGTTTTTCATGTGAGGCCTCCAGAGACAACCTCCATCCCCTTCCTGTGACACTGCATCTCCCCCACTGCTTTTATATAATTAGCATCCATGGGGCTTCCATTTTTGTTGTTGTTCTGCATTTCTTTTTGTCCTGGAGCATCAAGGTATTTATTAAAAAATACTCAGTACAGAAGAGACTGAGCTCCTGCCCCCTCTGGAACTCCAAGTCAGGCTACACATTAGCAGTGATAGTCTACTATTTCTTGGTCATCTTAAAGTGCCCAAATTTGGTAATATACATGGATGTCTAAGTGCCAATATATGCTACTTATGGACAGGTTGGCATTTTGTTGTTAGATGTAAAAGTCCTGTGTGTGTGAATAACTGTGTAGGCACCCAAATGGGGCATATGCACTACCAGCAGAAAGTGTGAAGAGGAGAGCATTCTCCCATCCTTTCTCCCAAATAGCTAAAAAGCCAGGACAGTTATCTGGGAAGTTGGATGTTCGGGATCCTCTTCACCCAAAGAAAGAGAGACCAAGGTTCAGGCTAACTTCTCAACATAGCACACCAACTACCACACCACTAGTCAGTTGTTATCCAGGTCCTTCTCCAGCATTCTTGGGCAGTCACACGAGGGTGGTATTTGGGAGATATGTGGAGCCAGGAGGAAGGAAACCAGCCAGAGGTATGTGGCTCAGTTAGGTGCTTGCAGGCCTGCAAGAGAGGGGATCCTAGATTCTAGCTGGTGCCCTTGCTCCGAGTGAGGCAGAAGCTTCCCTCCAACCAATCTCCTATGGGCAGAAACTCTGAATCTTTCTGGATTTCTCCAAATCGATTCGGAAGGTTCTGATTTGATTCAGAGAGATTAAAGGGTCCTCTGATTAGATTTGGATTTGGAGATTCAGCCATTGAATCAATCCGAATCTCCACCGAATTGAATCGGGGACCAAAGCTTCACACAGCCCTAGTAGGCACCTAACTAGCCAGTGGTGATGCCCAGCTCTAAAGCAGTGTGTATTGATTCAGTTTTAGCTGCAAGCAGGTGGAAAGCTAGCCTGTCTCTAAATTCTGAAAGTTTTCATGAACTGTCCTTCCCATTATACAAGCTCATAAAAGAAAGCACCATATTTCTTCGATTTCATCTTTGCTTTATTGTGCAAGTTTCATCTGTTCAGCGTCATCTTTGCTTTATTGCTTACTGTGTTAGTAAAAGATCAACTTCAATGAAAAGTTATGGGCTTGATGAAACAGTCACTGGGTGATGACTTTGAACCTTTGGTCTGTTTTCCTCTCCTAGAAGAGCATTGCACAAGCGATCCAGATACAGGTTTAAATTATATTAATTTCTTATCTGATGCATTAAGCAAAATTCCTGTGCAAGAATTGCCCAGACTCCTGTGGTCCAACAGAAACAGGTGTTATCAGGTAGCAGTAACACTAATTTCTCTGCACTTGTTGTTTCTCCCATATTGGTATGGTCTTCACACACTGTTGTTTTATCGAAAGAACTGGCTGTTTTGGGAGATAACTTTAACTCTTGCCTGCTTAGTGGAATGTAAGGGCCCAGGCAGGAACTATCATATCACGGAAGTAAATGCATGGCTGAGAAGATGGTGTTGATGTGAGGGCTTTGGATTCTTTGACAGTAGGTGGGCATTGTGGGCAGGAGAACTGCTATCAAGAGATGGGATCCATCTTACCTGAACTGTAAAGAGCATCTTTGGCCAACCTAGTAAAGAGGGCTTTTAACTAGATTCCACAGGGGATAGTGGGAAAAACCCTCTAGCAACAGAATAAACAATCCAAAAGGGAATAAACCAGAAGAAGCAGCTCAATTCTGGGAAAGGTCCACAGGGGCACAGGACAGGAATAAGTGATGAAAAAGGGAAACAAGTAGGTCAGAATGTAAATATGTCTAATGTGTCTATACAAATGGAAGAAATACAAGGAAAAAACAAGATGAGCTGGAAGGCTTAGCCTGTAGAAAGAGCTATGATCTGATTAGTATCCCAGAGACTTGGTGGGACAGCTTTTATGACTGTAAGGTCAACACTGAGGGCTACACTCTTTTGGAAAGATAGGGCTGAGAGAAAAGGTGCTGATACTATTTTGTATGTCAAAAATACATACTCATGTTCCCTGCTTCAGAAGGAAGGCAGCTGGTCAGAATATATTTGGGTGAAGCTACAGGGTGAAAGATACAGCACTGATATAATGATAGGGATTTATTATAGACCATCAGGTCAGGTAGAAGAAGTGGATTAAGCAGGCTTCAAGGGTGTGACAACATTATCCAAAGTTTTCTGAATGACTTCAATTTTCCAGACATCTCCTGGAAAAATAATACATCCAAACATAAAATGGCAAATTCCTAACTTGTGTGGGGACAGTATTCTGTTGCAGAAGGTTGAGGATACATTTAGGGGATCACCTATCTTGGTTCTTATCCGGACCAACAAGGAAGAACAAGGGGAAGATATGAAGATGTGCAACTTGAGAGCAAGTGATCACAATATGAAAGAATTCATGATTGCAAGAGGGGAAAAGTGGGAGATCTGCAGAACAAACAACTCCACTGGATTTCAAAACCAAGGTGGATTTCAACCAAGTCAGGGAGATGTGACGTCAGTGTGACGAAATCATCAGCAAAGCTAACCACACTTTATCATGTATCAGCAGATGCGTGACAAATTTCATAGATTTCATAGATTTCATAGACATTAGGGCTGGAAGGGACCTTGGAAGGTCATTGAGTCCAGCCCCCTGCCCAAGGGGCAGGAAGCCAGCAGGGGTCATAGGATCCCAGCAAGATAAGCATCCAAATTTCTCTTGAAGGTGTTCGATGTAAGTGCTTGAACCACCTCCAGCGGCAGGCTATTCCAAACCTTGGGGGCTTGGACAGTGAAGAAATACTTCCTTATGTCCAGACTGAAATGGTCTTGCAGTAGTTTATAACCATTCGACCTCATCATCCCTGGGGGCGCTCTGGTGAACAAACGTTCCCCCAGATACTGGTGGTCACCCCTGATAAACTTGTAGGTGGCCATCAGATCACTCCTGAGCCTGCACTTTTCCAGGCTAAAGAGCCCCAGGGCTCTCAGCCTGTCATCGTAGGGTCTGCTTCCCTGACCTCTGATCATGCGTGTGGCTCTGCTCTGGACTCTCTCAAGTTTCTCCACATCCTTTTTGAATTGTGGGGCCCAAAACTGGACGCAGTCCTCCAGCTGTAGCCTCACCAAAGCCGAGTACAATGGGAAAATGACGTCCCGGGATTTGCTTGAGAAGCATCTATGAATGCAAGCCAGTGTTTTGGTCGC